TAAATACCATTTATACGCTGCATAAATTAGATAAATTGCTTCTTTTTCATTTTAATTGTCTATCATTAGTTTATTTATAGAATACCTAGTTATTTCATTTTAGATCAATTGTTTATTTTACACTTTAACTGTCTCTCATTAGTTAATTCATAAAATACCTAGTTATTTCATAGAATAACTAGTTAAAGTGTCAAATTAATAACATATTACACACTTTAACGGACACGATCAGCTATTTCATGGAATAACTAGGTATTCTATGAAATAACTGCATTATATACTTTAACGGTAACACATATATAAATGAGTAATGCACGTAAGTTATTCGTTTCTATATCTTGCAACCGAGTAAAAAGTGTTTATTTTTTGGAAATTTTTTAGAGTCTTATTTAGAACAAAACTTCAACGTGTCTTATGAAAAATTTAATGCTTCGTAATTTAGAGAAATATTTAAGTAACATATTTTGTTTAGCGAAAAAGTATTCAGTTTTAATTCTGTCTATCCAAAAATTAAATGATTTGAATTACTATGATTTGAAAGACGTTGTAAGTTAAATCTGAAAAAACTAAATCTGATCAAACCTAATCCATCCTATACTTTTACATTGATGTCGACCTTTGCCAAGCTTGACATGTCGATGGAAACTGCCTAAGATAGCAAATTGATGACAAACCTGTTTAATGATTTCTAAACCACAATTGCAAGTTAATCGCCTTTCTTTATCACCAAATTCTAAAGCGAGGAAAATTGTTTGAATAATTTAAGAATAGAAAGGGTAATTATTTGAAGTTTAAACCAAGATACGATTTTAAGTTGGAATATTCTGAGTCAGACAATCTAGTCCTCTTCTCGATTTATAGTTTACTTGTTTCTGGCGGCCTCTTAAGGATTTGACATGTTAAACGGATTTGAACTTCACTATCTATTTCGTTTACAGAAATTTCAATACTTTTTTTCTCCATTATTTTTAATCTTACACCAATGAGTTTTTCTTTCACATTTAAAATACTAAGTCCCGTTCTTCAGATGGAAAATGAATTCAGTTTTGACTATAACATGGGAAAGTGTGCAGAGTATATATACTTCATGCAGTTTCTGACTTTCGAGGTAGACGGCGAAATTACAGTCTCATCTGAAGGCCATTCCAGAGCTAATTTACTAATTGCAGGAATCAACGTAATTCTAGATGTATATTTTTGTATAATCCGGTTCGACCGCGTTAAACATGCGACCCTTGGACCAACTATTATCGCAAACTATGAAGTTACAGTTGGCCCTTATAGCAACATTGAATTTTTTGATCAGCGTTCTCTGATTATTGAGTTTGATATTTTTTTGAAAAGCTCAGGACAGGGAAAGAGTCATATTGGTGTAAAATTGAAGAACTTAATTTAAAATATTTATAAGCCGCACTATTTCCAAAATTCCCTTTTTTACATCAAATCGTTACTCAGTATTATTTCTAGATAGATGTCTTACGATTGTTCGTAATTACAACTAGATAACAGTATGGAAATCGTACTATGTATCGTACTACATAAGTCAGTAATTGTGGAAATCTGAATATTTTTCCCTAAAAACCTTTCTTCCGATTTATTTGAAAACATGTCTCGCTAAGGATGGGTGATGTTGGTACATAACTAACTTTGATGTTACCCGAGTTTTGAAATTACCTTCCTCAATTTTAAGTGATATTTCAAAATTACGCATCCATGCTTTTTTTAGCAATCCCATAAGCGCTGCAACAAAGATAATACTTTATAAGGTATCATTAAGTTATTATTTTATGAATTAAGAAGTAACATTGTTCTTGAGACGTCTTTCAATCTATATCAGTGGCGAATATTTTTTTTAAATTTATAAATGGGATTAGTAAACATCTCATGTTATGTTCTAATATCTGACTAATTTATCTGCTGAGTCAGATGCAAACCTAGTAAGTCAAGAAGAATTTTCCAGGTAAAACAATCGTTACATTTAAAGTGCTGCCGAACAAAAAAATATTAACCTGATACACTTACTCTTAATCGATATCTCTTAGCAATCTCTCACCTAATCAATCTCCCTTTCTCTCTTTATTATGAAATAGTAATTACCACCGTTCAGATTTTTTTACCTTAAATATTGACTATATATCCATTGTTGTTGAAAATTTATTTTTCCTGGCGAATTTTTACTTCCTTTATTTTATAAGCTCACGCTCGAGTAGATATCAATCAAAAGTGTCCAAAAGAAGAGAGAGATTGGGAGATTACATGTGGCCAGATGTGATTCTTAACATTCATAGTGAAATTTTTGAAAAAAGAAGAAAAAAAAAGATAAATTGCTATAAAACCGCGCGGATTTGAATTGTAAGTTTCTTCAACGAGTGAAATTACTTCTCATTTCTTTCATCTTATTGAATCTCACAATCTGTATTCCTTAGTCCGTTGTTGACGTATGCCTGTTTAGGCAGTGGGGTGCGATTGTTCTTGTTTTCCAGTGGCGCCGTCTTTGGTCAAGAATTCGATTTCTGCCACACCCATACGTCACACCCGTTTATAGGGCGGACTCATTCATACAGCCACAGATCGTAATTTTGACCTGAATCAGAGAACGATCTATCTCCAATCCAGTACCCCCAGAGGTATTGATTTGTTATGGGAACATGGAGGACTTTGCGACTCGACAGATTTCACGTGCATATGTCACCATTCCTTAGTTCAATTTCTACAAGTAAAATGATTATTTTCTAATCTAGGTAATCGTCTATTTCATTACGCTTAAAAAAGTGTTCTTACATAAAGCTAATATAATTGTATATTTTGAAACAAACATGTTCTATATTTTTGTGAAAGCTATTGACGTTTAAGAAAAAATATACAATGACGAGAGAGAATAAATTACGGGGGTTGGCGAGCGGCTAGAGCAGGCGTGGAGCCTCCCAGTAATTGCGAAAGATTATTAAAAATGCCTAACTATTGTATTCTGGTTAAATTTAATGTGTTCAATTCCCAGTCGATTAGAATTCCGCTTCCGGCTTGCACCGACCACAGTGCTGACGTGAAATATCCTCATTGGAATATTTCACGTCACTAGACAGATCATGGGCTAGAGTCCCCTTGCCGTCAGACTAACCATGGGATGTTCTCATGGTCTTCCTCTCCATGCAACGCAAATGTGGGTTAGCTCCATCAAAAAGTCCTACACGAAGACAAATTTCTGCCAATACTCGATCCAGGAGTTCACTTGTCCTCTGGATTGGGTTCAAAATTGCAGGGCTACAGAGTTGAACATTAGTAGTCGTAAAGCCATAAAATTGTGTGGGCTGTTCAACGGTTATAAAATAAAAATAAAATGTGTCTAATTACTATTCTAAAAAAACTCGCAATCTTTCATGATTAAATCATTTTATTGCGCCTCATGAATACTGCCTCTCTCTGCTCTTTCAAGTCCTTTAATCATTTCTTGCTCCTTGTAAGGTGCTTTTACAGTCAAAACACCATCAGTTATATCAGTGGTGAGAGCGTCCACGTCAACAAAGTCCGGCAAAAAATATTTGTGGCTGAAGCTTTCGGATCGAGAGATAGATGTTCGCCCTTGCTCATACTTCTCCTGGCGTTGAGCCGAAATTGACACTTCTCTGAAAAATAAAAGCATGAACTTATATAACCTTCTTGTCTTGATTGGACTTGCGAAAATGTTTTTTTTTTATATTTGTGTTGTTCAAATTTCGATTTAATATTTAAAACCCAAAAATAACATGGGTGAAATAAAAGTGACTCAAAAGTTAATGTGGATAATAAAAAAAAAGGAACCCAGAAACTGTGATAGACTGCAAGAACAACGGCGAGAAGGTCACAAGATGATTATGAGTCAAGTGGTAGAAACAAAAAAGATGCCACCTCGAGCTGTATCAACACACCAGAGAGAAGGCCTCTGCGCGGATCAATTTAGAAGTCCGACGTAACCTGTACAGAGGGAGGTGTTTAAAAAGTACCACTACGTTTGAGCTACTGAACTGCAAAGTGGTCCGGGGGATTTACGAAAGATGTTATTACATTCTAATTACTAAAAAAACGGATTTCTCTTTTATAATATCCTGTGCGGAGGACTTCTCTCTTCAAGGAGGTTTTGGTTGAACGTGATAGATACATAAGACAGATTTTATCACAGTTGTGATAAATGGACTCCATTCTTGAGGATGGGGTTGATAAAAACATTTCACTTATACAAAAACTCTTTTTCATAGAAAAATTCGTAGAAGCAGTTCTATCCTAAATTTTTTACAGGTAAGGGCACTAAATATAATTAATGAGTACAATTAGTAAATTGTAATACCGTACTCAAACACTTTCCGTTTATTTTTGCTAAGTTTCGAAATGTTGATGAAAAATACTGTTGAAGCGATTGTATTGTAATTTGCGACACTTTTCAAACTTTAGCTTCTATTATTATAAGATATTATCGATTATCATATATTATATATTTTCAGATATTATATGCTATCAGACATTAAATCTGATATTATCAAACTAAAAATTCTCTTTCGTTATTCTCCGTAATGTATTTTTGACAACAAAAAAAATGAAAGAAAGAAAACCTTTTCAGCTACGTTAAAATAGGTGTTGTTAAAATAGAACTTGAATTTTGCCCCAAGATACAACATACTATTGTATCTTAGGAGGGTTTTATTTTAACCAAGCTTATACCAACAAATAAGAATTTAATTTTCTCGGCATGAAGAGAATTCACATTTCAGTATATTACGCAAATAAAGAATTCTCAGTTTAAGCTTAATATAAAAGAACGGACAATGTCGAATCACTATGAATAGAACAAAATGAGCATATAAGAAAATAATTTCCTTCAGCACTTATTGCCCAACGAATACGTGGTAATAATCATTATCATTACCACGTAGTCAAATTCTCGTAAAGCAAGCAATATCTTAAGAGTAGAAAAAAAAAGAGAATAAAATTATAAAAAAAAATTTAAAAAAAGACTATTATTTTCAGTATTAAACTAAGGAAAATTTTTTGTAATGAGACAAGAAGCTTATTTTACTTACAGAATAAATAGAGTAAAAATAAATTTACCAAAATTTCATTTCTCAGAGCGAATTCGAACTCATAATATGAACTAAAATATTGAAATAATCCATTTAACTAAAATATAGAATATGTCACTTTCAGTATTTGAAAGATCGCGACACATTCGAAGAGCTCTCTTTGTAACAAAAGGTGTCGAAATTATTAAGGTTAAATTAAAATTGAATTTTAAAATTAAAAGCGAAATTACAAATGATGCATAGGTTGTATCTTAAAATATGTTCCAAGATACAGCATGCTTCTTTGTCTGAAGAAACAGCCATCGCATCGGCTTAAGTAAATTCATAATAGTGGCCAATCTAAGACTATAATTATTTGCTCATAACTGAAATTTTTAATAACTTTCTTTCCTACAACAAGATAAAATTAAGTTGCATTTTTTAAATCGTATTCAAAAAATTTAAATAGTATTGAAAAATTTACTTGTAAGTGGTGAAATTTTATTTTTTCACCAAAACGTTAATTCAATTCTTCATGTGCTAACTTTCACTGTGGTTAACACCGATTCATTAAAATCCAAAGCAAATTAAAAATAAGGCCAGTGTGGCCATTAAATTTTTCGGTTGTTTTAAGGTAAAATATTCTCAATTTTCTCAAAATGACTCTTTTGCCTTTTTTCAATTAAAAGCATTTTTCACGCCAAGACAAAAAATGAGTGCAAAAAATCGGCCCATAGTTTATTGAAATTACGATAGTTTTCTCTTTTCAACAAAGATATATCGAGCACAAAATTTTTACTAATAAAATAAAACTATCATAGATCAGTACAAATTTATTTTGCTCCTTTTTTAATTTATGTTTATAATTTAGTGATAGTATTGAAAACCTAGTTTTACTTTCATATTTCTTCAATATTGTTGTTGATGAAAAGTAAGCCAAGATTGCCAAATTATAGTGGCCATTTTACGAATTTTACTGGCTATTTTATGAATTTTAGTGGCGATTTTAGACATTTTGAGTTATTACACTCCACATAATTAAACTATTGTGAACTGTAATAGTTATTGCAATCTGTATAAGCTGTTTGTTATCCTATTTTGTTTCGTAATTCTCACGCTTTTCTAAACTGCTTTTTGTTTGTTTTGGCACCGTGCATTTCAATTTTTTATAACTAATTTTATTACAGTATTCTTTTAAATTATTCAATGAAGCAACATTTTTATCATTAAAGTATCTAAGATCTTTTTTATCACTACGATAAAACCCTCACACTGAGCAAAATATCAAAATATCTGTCCTCATATGTAACTGCAGCAAAATTAGATACAAACACGTTTTGTTTGTTTTGTACAAGTCTTTCCTAAAACATAGAAATGCTAACTTTTCTACCTACACTTTTGAAATACCTAAATATTTCTATGATGTTTGATATGTGTTTATAATATTTTTTCCACTTCTTTTTATTTAGGATCTGACATAGCTTGTCACCAATTAAGAGGATTAGATCGTTAGTAAATATAAATATTTTCTACATTACCTGCCTTCTTTTTTAACATTTATTTCCTCAGGAGTAAAATTTTTAACATCCAATTTCAGTTCAAATTGCCGAGACTCAGTATTAGCTTCATCTGTCATTTTTCTTAGTCTTGAAACTATTAAAATATCTGATCTGATTTAAAAGAAGAATTTCAAAAAATAGATTTTAAGAAATATAAATAATAATCGCTGTGAATAACTGTTCAAGTTCCTGTCATTCTTATGCTAAGTTTAAAAATTTTAGTAAAAGAAATTTTTCGTAAAAAATGGATATAAGTTTTGCAGATGCTACATTTGCATGGAAAACATGACTTTTGTGTCGAAAAATCGTTTTAACAAGCTTTTTAGAATAGGGCTGGGAAAAGGAATCATAGCAGAATGAGTAACTCTATTTTGAGAATTTTTTTTCAAATCTCATTTTCCTACTGCTCGTCAAAATCATGGTATAGATCTCCCATCTCGAGTTGACGTGTACAAAGTGAGAGTAAAGCGAACCGGTTGAGTTTAATCCAGCGATTTAGGGAAAGAAGTTGCAGCCAATAATTAAAATGGATGTTGTTTTCAATATAAATGTAAACAACAACAATCACCAGTTCTACTTCCATTTAGAGAGTATACAGCTGCTTACTTCAGCTTATTCTCCAGTCGATATTTTCAAACAGAAAAGTTTGTTTTTAATAAAAGAAATAGATATTATAATATAAAAGAATTATATATGTTTAGTAATTCTGGTGAGTTTGAAGTGAAAATTTGTTATATTTCGTTATAGATGTATTGTTCAAGAAGGTGACATGGTTGCTAGATTTAGAAAGAACTCGCCTTTTTGGCAGTCCTAATTTGGCCGTTTTTTGCTTGTTTATTACTGTTTTTCTTGTTGAAAGCCGTGCACCATCATACGGTAGAATTAGCATGCTGTTCGAGCAGTGAGATTAAGTTCATTTTATAGATTGGAATTTGTATATTGCTGACAAAGTAAGAAGTGTTTTATAACAATTATTTTTTTCAAATGACGATTCTTACGTCTTCAAATAACAAGCCTTCAAATGACGATTCTTATCAGGATTCTTTCTTTTTAAAAACACAAATAATAAATCTGGTAAAAATTACACTTACACAAGAAATATTACTCAAGAGAGTTTCAAAACACAATGATCACGTTGTGATCCAAATGGCTTAAAAATACACCGGAAACAGTAACCCGGAAGTATAGGCAATAAAGAGCTTGCAGCGCACCCTAGTGTCAAAAAAACTCTCTATACTTAAAGACAATTCACTCTTACAACACTACGACGCGTTTCTAGAAGTTTCTCCAGGCCTAACTGTCTACAGTGCCCTCTAGCAACACTTATCGAAAACGGTTAGTTGATTCAATAGGTGTAAATAGTAGACACTCTACGGTATATTGCGTAGTGTCTTTGTCATATTTTTTATTTACTTCTGCGATTATATTTGTCACATGAATGAATAACTCTTTGTGATTTATTGTTTTAAAATCTAGTCTTAATGTTTTATTTTAATCGAAATTATTGAATTAAGATCGGATTGAGTGAAATTATGTTACTTTTTTTTTTAAATATTTTTATACTGAGCATTTAAGTAAAAATATAAAATTTTCAAATCTACTCCAAATCGTTTATTTTACATTTCAGTTCTATAATATGGAAAAAAGTATTTCCTTCATACTGCTAGTTACTCCTGTCTATGTCTATGATAAATTCTACCATATACAGAAAAAAGAAAAAAATCTACATTAACGCTTTTCCATATTTATTTTTCCTTTAGTTTAAAAGGATTTCCGGTGCGTTTCATCAATGTTAATGTGTATTAAATTCAACATTGAGGTAATGAGATAATTAAAAAATGATGAGAAATAAAATAAATTTCAATTTACTTTGCAAAATGTATTTTTGTCTTCATTAATAAACGACATCTTTAATGATTTAGCATCTAAGCATTTCATCGTATTAAAATAAAACAAATGACCGAACGATTATAAAGAACTTTATAAATTCATTTCAAAATAATAAACAAAAAAAAGGATAAACTCACCAATCAAACTGATAGCTAAGTTTTTTGCCGCAGCGCGGAGCTAAAATCGTTTGGGCCAAGCGGTTTTCATTTTAACGAGCATTGATAAAAAAAATTGTGATCTTCTTATATGTCTTAGCATAGGAGTGCAAATTTTTTACATAATTCTCTGCGGTTACAGTGAAAGGAGACAAATGTAGAATCTGGGAAAAGTTAATATAAACACCTTATTTGACATATTTTAGGGAAAAAAATGCATAAAAAACCTAACTTAGTTAAAGAGCTTTTTATCGTAGTGAACGAAAGAATTAGAATAGTATGCCAGTTTGGAATTCTTGTCAAGTGAAAAACGCTTATATTTGAACTTTTCCTCTATTCACGATCGCAGCGAACTGTAGGGAGAGTGGTTGTATGAGACGAATACCTGCGATTTCTATATGAACTGTCATTCAGTTACTCAAGAGACGTCTTTATTGTAGCGTGTAGCGTTGCAACGTTCCTTCTTTATCATAGCTTATTAAATTTAAAAAAGAAAAATGTTTGATATCCTTTCTTACGCAACCGAAAACAAGGTGGCATCGCTTTTTATTAGAGAAGGAATATCCAAAACACATAGGAACAATATTTGTACCTAAACAGAAAAAAATATGTACATTCTTATAAGAGTTTGTGGTGCGCAAGAGCAATAACATAACAAGCATTTATATTTAGTTTTATGAAAAATAAAAACAACGTTGCTAAGACAACTCAATAATAATAATTACTATATTGACGTTCCAGACATTGGGATGTAAAAAGTAATAATGGATTTATATATTTTATATTAACTTGTAAATAACTGTGTATATTAAATGTTGTGATGTCTCCAATTTACTTCGTTTTTATTTATCCAAAATCGCACATAGTAGGAAGATAGAAAACCTTCCCTTACAAGTTAAAATCTAATGGCCGAGAAATAGTTTTACTAAATTTAATGTTATAACATGAAAGGCCCATTTAAACTTTACATTCCATAGTTTTAGGAATCATATTATTTCAAAAATTAAAATGAACAAAAAGTATACATAAGCCTCATATTTCATGAAATTTAATTTTGTAAAAAATGTTTTTTGACAACAATTTTTATCAAAAAATTTCATGTTTCAATAAAAATCATTATTTAGAAACTAAAAAACGTAAAATAAAGAATGCTGACGAAACAAAAACAAAAAAATAATTCTTTTTTGTCGTCATTTTTTAGTGCTACGAAAATTCGTCTTCGGGTTTTGCCAAAAACAAAACAAGATGCAATTTTATTTTTTCAGGATCGAAATATTTTACCGAAAAAACGAAAATGTACCAATTACCACGACATGAAACTTTATCTTGGTAAACGTACTTTTTGAAAATGTTATTTCATTTGGAATCTTATTTATCAGAGTTCATATGTCGATATGATTGTTTTGAATCTATGCTAAACTCTATATCGGCCCATTTTCCACTGAAATCCGATTGACTACTTTGATTTTAAATAAAGTGTCTTATTTTATGATTTGTTGCAAAAATTTTAAGTGTAGATTGGCGGCACTTAAAAACCGCCAAATCTGTAGCGGCGGTGGCGTTAATACGTCGTAAGTACCGAATTTTTATTCCATACTTTTCTGAATCATATTATTTCAAACATTGGAATATACAAGAAGTATACATAAACACATAATGTTATACCATTTAATTTTTCAAAAGTATTTTGAGAACAATTTTTATCAAAAAATTATAAACTAAAAAACGGAAAATAAAGAATTCTTAGGATAAAAAAAACGATTTTAAGAATTATTAACATTGAAATAAAAACTTTCATATTGTTTCTTTTTTTATTATTCTTAAAGTTCTTAATCAAACGTAAAAAACCATTCTGTAGAGAACTATCATCAAATAAGAAAAAAAAATATTTACAAGCAAATTTTCAATTATGAAAATCATAACACTCACCTGTTTTATAAATCCGCAGAATTCCAAATGAAATGTTCTTCGTTTGAAAATTTTATTTTCAAATAATATATGCATAGATTATCCCTTCATTACTTTTAGAAAACATACCACACATCAAAATTTTATAATTGTAAGATTTCGATATGAATTTGAATATGCAGCTTAAAAACGGAATAGCTGAATTCTAGCTGAAATTATTCTTTCAAAACTAAAAAATACTTACCAAGAAAACGATAAAAAATTATTAATAATCAGCACAAATGAAACTATTTCCAGTAGTTCGGATGATTCCTTATTGTTGTTTTCCGAATTATATAGATACAGAAATATATACTATTCTATAAAGAAGAAGAATATTCTATAACTATTACAGTTCTGTAAGTTCTGAATTCACTTTATTCATTGGAATGACGAAAGCAATGTTGACTTCACTTTAATTTGTAATGAATTGAAGACAGAAAAAATTATTTTACACTCATCTGTATAGCATTCATTATAATACACTCATCTGTAACAGCAAGTGATCATGAAATTGGAAATTATGTTGTTGGTAATAGAAAGGTAAAAACTATTGAAAAATTGTTCTTCAAATGCTTGGCGTGCTCTGTTTCAATATTTGGCATGTTCTGGTTAGTTTTTTCAAGAAGTTCTGGTTTTTCCTTAGGGAAATTTTGCTGCTTGGAAAATGGCGTCAGTCATTGCCAATGATTATGTGGGAACTAATGCCCGATATTTTCAGTCTCCCGCTAGAGGGCGTACTCGAGCGTTGCGATCGCGAATAACCCGCCAACTTTTAGCGATTATTTAAAATCTGGCGAATTGGACCCGTATCTGGGTCAAAGTTATTTAAATTATTAATGGACAAATACACCTTCTTAAATATTAAAATTAAAATTTAATTTTAATTTACTCGTAATTTCTTTCCCAGAAATAAATTTACAAAAACATTTTATCAATCATTCAGTTCTTAATTTATCATATAATAACGTAAATAACTTGGTGAAAGTTCCTGGTACAGTTATCATAGTATTTGAAAGCTAATTATTTCTCAAAATATATTGATATTTAATCTTTATTTTGTGTATAATTTCTTAATTTACGTTACTCTACTCGGTTTATTCTCGAAGTTCGACTTCCTCGTATTTTAACGGAAAGAAATTTGAGCCGTC